GTTACCCAAGAGGATGAGGCAGGAGAATCACTTGAACTTGGGAGGCAGAGATTGCAGTGAGCTGAGATTGCTCCACTACATTCCAGCCTGGGTGACAAGAGTAAAAATCTGTCTCAAAAAAAAAAAAAAAAAAAAAAAAAAGACACAGAGTTAGAGCAGAATGGAAATGTACATCCAGTCTACCTAACTCCAGAGTCTATCATCTAGCTTCTCAAACTTGGTTAATTTCCAAAGCAGGAAAAGCTGGACATCCCATTGTCCAATGGAGTAGGTAATCTATGTGTGAATAATAAACAATACAGTAAAAGAAACAAACTCCCTTTAAAGAAAGTTTACATCAAGTGTGACTGGGATTACAGTTTCCAAATGATGTGACTAAAAAGATTGCCAAAATGTGACCCAGTTAGACGACCAGAGCAGGCATGGTTTTCAGGTTCTGATATTTTCATATTGTTTAAGGACATTCTGGAAACACAAAGCATAATAGAAAGGTCTTGACAAGTCAGCAGTGCTAAGACATCAGTATTTAGTTTCAATTCTAACTGTAGGAAAAGCCCACCATGAGGGACTCTATGTCAAATAAAGCAGACAAATTGCATCCTCATGGATGAGAAAAGGAGAGTTTAATCTGGCAGTAGGGTACGAGGGCAAATTGCAGGTGATCATCTGTAGTTAGGAACAGCAGCTAAGAGGAAGCTGTCATCACCTGGTCATACAAGTTGGACTCTTCTCAGTTGAATGGGAACATTTTTCATTCTCAAGAGGCTTTTCCCAGTTAACTTTTCAAGAACTTACACTGGGCCTTAGGGCTTGAATATTATGGTCTTGGCTCAAATTTACTGCACAAGCATTTCTGCAGAAGCTGGGATCTACGGTGTACACTCTATCTTGGCTCAATGTCTGCAATGAGATTAAATGGCACTAGATAAATAGAAACAAACTAAAGGGACTATCACTTGTTTAGAAAGATCTAAAATTTTAATAAGTTCTAATAAAATGTGTATGAAGAACCAACAAGTTCTAGTGTTGCCTACACTTGTGCCATTTTCACCTCTAGAGGGGCTGCCACTAACTAGTCCAGGCCCAGTGTGCTCATGTGAGCCCAGCTCAACAGTGTCCTGAGGTTCCTTCCTGGACTCACCCCACTGCATTCTGCTCACTCAGTAAAACAACAGTAGCAATCTAGATTTCGTTTTTACTCATCCATGCGCAGCTGTGTGATTTTACTGTTACATACATTTGTAAACCACAGCCCCTTCAGACACAAATTGGAAGCTCACTGAAAAAATACATGTAATTCTTATACATATATGAAAGCCAAGAGAGAATATACCTGTGTGTGTATGCACTTTTATTCCTCTGTTTCCAAGGTTTCCATTACAATAACAGCTACTAATTTGTTGAAAAAAGGGAAAATATTCATAAAGAAAAACAGATGAGAATAATAGATTAAAAAACCCTCTACCTCATATTTTCTTTTGGTCATTCTTTTTTCATATAATATCACTGGTAGACAACCTACTATGATATCTTTTGTAAAAATCCACTGAAGTAAATCAATACAATAAAGTTCAAGAGAGACTCCACCGCTATAAAATATAGAGTAGATTCCATGATCTCTAAGATCATTTTCCCAAGCCCTCAACTTTTAGTAGTCTTTGCAGTATTTGACCAATAAAGTTGTCATATATAAGTATCTAACACAATTGTTGAGTCACACAAATACAACAAAAATAAAATAAAAGAGTTCAAAAAAATCCAAAAGTTAAAGTATGTAAAAATACCTCTAAAATATCTGGAAATTAATGTTGGCCAGCTGACTTTAATCATATGTGATAAAATACTGCGTGTGGTTGTATAGATATACTCACAAAACTCTATTTTGATCTGATTTTAAAAGACACTGGACATTATAGTGACAAAAGTTTAGTTTGAATTATATGAGTAAATAAGATTAACCCACTGACTCAACTGGCATTCAGAATAAAAGATGATTGGATGTGATTGTTTGTACACATATCATAGATAAAATACAGGGTAAAAGGGTGGTACACGTGACTCCTGTGTAGAGCAAGTGCCCTGCAGCCTCCACGCCACCCAGGCATTTGACAACAACTGAGCAATGTGATTTTCCTGTAAGAAAAGCAAAGATATGGAGGAAAGCTATAGAAAGGTGACATATTGTCTTCAGATTCTTAGAAGGGTGTTGTTCAAGGTGCTCTGAGTAAATGTGTGATGTAAATGAAGGATTTTGAGAGGAAAATGGTGGAGGGTAGGTGAGTAATGCATTGACTATGAAGGGCTTTGTATGCATGCAAAGGAGTCTTAGGCTGATAGGATACTCTACGCCAAAGAAGCGTTTTAATAACACAGAAAACAAGGTGAGTTTGGGGTTTTATACAGACTATCCCAGGAAAGAAGAGAGAAAAGACAATCATAACGCCACTGCAACAGTCAATGACAGGCCCTCAAATGCTGTTTTGTTAGAGTGCCTAGAGCAACCATTTGTTTCTCCTTCCCAGTGGAAAAAGAATTCAATGATAAATAAATAAGTAACAGAATCGGTTTTGGAGTAGGGGTGTGTTTGTCTACGGGTGTGCGTGTATGTGTGTGTGTGTGTGTGTGTGTGTGTGTGTGTATTTTTGCTTTCACAATAGGGGCAGGGATGACACATATTGAACCAGATCACAAGCATGTCTTAAAGTATAGGCATTTCAAAATCAATAAAACATAAATAATTATGGTGCAGATATAAATAATTAAAACCATAAGATTAAGCAAACAACCTATAACAAGCTACATTAATCTTGATTAAACAAATTTATAACAAGAAAGTCAAACACAGCGAAAACAGAAAATCACAACCAACCACAGACAATCGATTACAAGTTATCTTTCCCCCAAATTCTAGCAAATCTAATTACCTGCCTGTGAATACACAAAATACACATCTTGTAATACTGCCAACAACACATGGAAGTCAAACTTCTTAAGAAAAATTGAATTAAAGTATTTGGAAAACCCTAATTACATTAATTTTTGCTCAATTTCAAATCTGGAACTCTTAGTAACTCCTACTTAATAACTTACATAAGAATGAAAATCTAGAGAATGCCACATTATTTCCTGGGAGAAGTTAGTATTAATTGAGCACATACTATGGGGTAGGCAGTTTTTGAATTCTATCCATTCATTTATTTCATTTAATAATCATAAATTCATGAGGTAGATATTAATATTATCTTTATTTTATAGATGAGGAAACGGAGGTATAGAGAGGCACACACTAAGCAAGCTTTAAACTGAGATTCAAAGCCCAGCATTCTGACTCCACTTTTCTCATTTTTAAGCACTAGTTTATACTGCTCTAGAACCTCCATTTTTAGATTTATCCTAGGCTCATCAGGAGAACCTGTGCAACTCACTAGCAGACTACAGGCCACATTCTGAGAGGCATCTGTAACTATGATGACACCTCAAAATAATGCAATAGCATTGAGAAGATGCATTGGGGTCAAAGCATTGGGGATCAAAGATAGATTCTGGAGAATTAAGAAAGAGAACCAGCAGGACACCTGGTGACTGTTTATATGTGTGGATTGAGGAAGGGGCCAAGAGGGAGCAGAGTCTGGAATGGCAACTTTGGAAGCAAACAGAAACTACAGTGGAAAGAGCAAGTTTTTGGCTTGGGATGGAGGTTGGGTTTGATGCATAGACTCTGGGATGCTTCTGAGACATTCAGGTAGAAAATCCAGCTGGGTAGAGTGACAAAGGAGCAGACAATGCTTGGAGTGGAGTGAAGAGAGCTGTCCCTGTACCTGCAATGCTGGTCCATGCCTACCCCAGAGGAAATCGTTCACACATGAGGAAGTTACTGGCTGAGGGATGGATGTACAGGGGTGTACTGGGGGGTTCACATAAAGTGAGAACCATCTCCGTGACATGCTGGGGTGTAAAACCAGGGAGGATAAAAAGCAAGACCGAAGGAAACCACAAAGTACAAATGCTGGCACCCTTCCCTACTTGGAGTCCCCCACATGGTGCTGACCATGGTCCCCTTCATTCTACAGTCTTGGGGTACTGGTCCTATCTGTGCCAATACATTGTCGGCTCCAGAAGGGCCTTCATCTCTTTGATTTTGTAGTTTTTGAAGAATCTAGCACAATGTAGAACTCTTTGTCCAATTATTTAGTCAGGGATTCTTCTCATTTTTACAAGAAGTCCTTTGAGGCCTAAGGTTCAAGCATCATTAGGCTGGCTGTGTGTAAGATATCCTCATTAATAGAAAAGCATTCTAGCTTAATCCTAAGAAACCAACGGGAGGGAAAGAGAAGCAGTGAGGGAACAAAACAAACATGAGAATGGAGAACACTTGCACTTCTGTCTGGAACTGGTTATTAGTCATGTCAGCCTAATCAGATCAGAGGACTCCTTCAGACAAAAAAATAAGGTATTTTGGGTTGAGGCTCATTAAAATTTAGAGTGGTTAATTTCCTCCTTAACTTTAAGTAGCTAGAAAGTCAGAAATGATAAAGATGTGAGTAAAGTAGAGGCTTTTAAATTTTTTTATAAGTAAAAAAAATCTGAAAATTGTTGGAAGTTAAAATATTTTAATTTTCCAAAAGACTTTGTATAGTCTGTTCTATAAAATAAAGATCCGATGTTTAAAAAAAAAAGATGAACTTGTTAAAACCGATGACCAAAATTAGATGGATTTAGATATGCTAGCTCAGTTTTCCAAACTCAAATGTAGAAAATAAAGATTCCTTTGGAAAACACTATCAAAATAATTTTTTAATGATTATCACTTTTCATTAATATAACACATGCCCTTTGAGGCTTAATTGTAAATAATTGGCTTTCAGTGTAGCTGTAGTGATGATTAATTCGCCTATGTGATATTTAGCTCTCAGATGTCTATAATGGCATGAATAAGCAACAGTATGGCTGGAAATCAGGCTAAGGATTTAAAGGGCAATGACAAAGAGCAAAGTACTCACGCTGCGGCACTTCCAGTGGATGCCCTGTGACATCACACCATCCGATCGGGTGGATGTCAGGGCTGTCTGCCTCCACCCAGTAGTCATACTTATGGTCCCAACCATCAAAATGAACCTGTTAAAATGAGTTTCAAATAATTAATATTTAGTAATTAGTATTTCACTATTCCTGTATCGAAATATTTGAATACAGATATCTGAAGCTGAGATTGAAATTTTATTAATCACACCTTGCAGTTGAAATAATATTTAAAATGTGCCACTCTACAGCCTTCTAATCCAGCCAACAAAGGCGACTGTACCAAATTTTCAAAGAAATTAAAGAGGTTGGTAAAGAAAAAAATTGTCAGGGATTGATCAGAATTTGAAGAGGTAAGCCCAATCCATTTTCTCAACTAAGACAAATACTGGAATGCTGTTGAGGGAAAACTCTTTGTCCTGAGTAACTGTCCCATTAACCACTTCAAGAACCATGTCAGCATCATCAACATTAAGCGTCACCAACTTGACATTAGTACAAGCGCTATACTGATGGGAAATGCACAGATTAGAGAATAAAGAAACAATCAATCCCTAAAACCTCACAAATGAGAGATGGGCCCATTGGAACAATGGAGGGAAAAACAGTAGACAAAATATGCTAGGGGGTAGATAGATTTTATTAGCTACCATAAGAGTTATTTAAAGACCAAGGGTAAGCTATCAAGAAACTTTCGAACAAGAGGTAGGGCCCAGGTCCAGCCATCCTACTGGCATAGGCTCAAACAAGCTAATTATTGCAAGGATAATTTATCATGCATCTTATCTATAAAACACACACAGACATACCATGCACACATATAAGAATAATTAAATAAATCCCAGTCTCTGAAACAAAAAATCAAATACTTATTTCCTAAAATAAAAATAATTATTTCTTTTTAAAAAAGCTATAACCTTTCCAATGCAAAGAAGCCCATTTAAGTTTTTGAAAATCATATTTGAATAAAAAGAGCAAGATGCCTAGTGCTATAATAAGCCAACCTGAAATATAAATCCATTATGCAGAACATAAGACCAAAAAAGCAAAATTCTATATTTTCAGTTCCAAACAAACTCCCAATATTTTTTCTCAAGTCATCTTTCTAAGCAAGTGGTTTTCACAGTGTGATTCTCAGACTATCAGCATCACCTGGACACTTGTTAAAAATGCAAATTCTTGGGCTCCACCTCAATCCTACTGAATCAGAAACTCTAAAGGTAGAGCCTAACACTGTGTGTTAACAAGTTTTCTACATGAATCTGTTATATGTTAAAGTTTGAGAACCAGAGATTACAGTAATAACTTTCAAAAGTATGTTTCTACCGAACTTGGGTTCCTGACAATGACAGAGTGCCCTTTCACAGTAATAACCATAAAACTGGACATATGCAGTGACTATTTTCTGATGTTGGACAATAGACAGCACAGAAATGCAATCCCTAAGTGAAGGAAAACATCCCAGATGAGCCCTTAATATCAGCCTGGAGACAATGTCCTGATTGCAGCACAAAGAGGAGAAACACAGAGAAAGCAGTTATGCAGTCAGAAAGACACAGATTGCAGATCAGAGCGGATGATGCAGCTGGAAGTTAAAGGACAAAATATTGGAGAAGACAGAACTACAAAAAAGGGAGAACCAAAGGCCGGGTGCAGTAGCTCATACCTGCCATCCCAGCACTTTGGGAGGCCAAGGACGGAGGATCGCTTGAGCCCAGGTGTTCCAGACCAGCCTGGACAACATAGTGAAACCTCATCTCTACAAAAAAAATCAAAAACTAGCCAAGTGTGGTGGTGTGCACCTGTGGTCCCAGCTACTCAGGAGGCTGAAGTAGAAGAATCACCTCAGCCTGGGGAGGTCGGGGCTGCAGTGAACCATGATCATGCCATTGCATCACAGCCTGGGAGACACAGCAAGACCCTGTCTCAATAAAGAGGAGGACCTAAAAGTCCATGGGAGGTTATTCACAAGACCTTGACCAAGGGCTGGACTTCCCATGCACCAGGTGAGACTTTTTGAAGCCAAGCAGAGAGTACCTGATATGAGGCTGAGAATGAAACAAAGATACTAGAGGTCATACGTTTCGGGGAGAGGGGAGAGACTAAAGTGGAGAAATCTCAATAACACTTTGACAATTTCACTGAGACACCACAAAGGTCACATTTTTGGGGAAAGAAAGATGCCCCAGATAAAGCATTACTTGTGAACAACCCTAAAAAAGGGGTAAAATCAAGCCTTTGCCAGATGAAGAATTACCAGTAATAAATTCCCTGACAGAATAAACTCTATTCTTTAAAACAAAACAAAAGAAACAAAAACAAAAATAACAAACACTCCCACTATATACTGTATCATTTTGTATGTATAATGTACAAAAGTTTACTAAACATGTAAATAAGCAGATGATTGTGAGCCATACTCAATTTGTGAAGAAGTAGTCAACAGAAATAGATCTTAAGATGACCCAGATGTTGTAATTAGCAGAAAAGGAATGCAAAGTAGTTATGAAAATATGTTCAAAAACTTAATTGAAATGGTCTAAATTAGTGAATAGAGAATTTCAAGAGAGAAATGGAAACTATAAAAGAGAAGCACATAGAAATTCTAGAAGTGAATAGCAAAATATCTTAAATATTGCTGGATGACAATATTATTGCTGTATGACAATATTATTGCTGGATGGCAATACTAGCAGATTGGAGATGGCAGAAAAACAGATGAGTGAATATAAAATATAAAAACAGATTCATAGAAGTTATTAACCTAAAGAACAGATGATGTTCTGGTGTGATGGCGCGCACCTAAAATCCCAGCACTTTGGGAGGCCGAGGCAGGCAGATCACTTAGAGCCAGCAGGTTGAGACTAGCCTGGTCAACATGGTGAAGCCCCATCTCTACTAAAAACGCAAAAATTAACTGGTGTGGTGATGCATGCCTGTAGTCCCAGCTACTTGGGAGGCCAAGGCACAAGGATGGCTTGAACCCGGGAAGCAGAGTTTGCAGTGAGCCGAAATTGCGCCACTGCACTCCAGCCTGGGCGACAGAGCGAGATTCTGTCTCAAAAAACAAACGAACAAACAAACAAACAAAACAAAGATGATATGAGATTTAAATAATAAATAGGGCCTGATAATATCAACTCATCTAACACACGCATATTTGGATTGTGGAAGGAGAGGACACAGACAATGGAGCAGGAATAGTGGTCAAACAAAACCAATGCAGAAAGGATAATGGTTAAAACAAAAAAACTCCTAATTTGGCCAAAAATACCAATTTGCAAGCTTAAGAGTGACAAAACCTGAGCATAATAAACACAAAGGAAATCAAAACTAGGCAAATCATAGACCACTGAAAATGAAAGCTAAAGGGAAACCCTGAAAGCAACCGGAGACAATGCAACACATTAGAGAGAGCAGAGCCGCGATGCGAAAGTGTGCCACCTTCTCACCAGAAACGGTGCAGGCAGGAAGATAATAAAATGACATCCTTAAAACACTAACAGGAAACATAAAAAGCTGTCAACACAGAATTTCAATTCCTACAAAAATACCCTTCAAAAAAGACTAAAACAGAGAAATTTTCAGATAAAAGGAGAATACACACTTATAGATGTATACTGTAAGAAATATTACAAGGAGTATTTCAGGTTGATGCTAAGTGATGCCAGATGGAAACTACGACCTACGTGAAGACCACTAGCAATAGCAAATATGCGGGGAAATATGCAAGGCTAGTTCCGCATTCTAACTGTAATCAATTAATTCAATACACCACAGAATAAGAACAAAAGTAATGTGGTCATCTCAATGGATACAGAAAAAGTATTTGACAAAGTTCAATACACAATGATAAATACTTCAACAAACTAGAAATAGAAGGGAACTCCCTCAGTCTGATAAAAGGCATCTACGAAACACTTAGAGGTAACATCATACTAAGTAATACTTTAGTGAATGCTTCATCCCCAAAATCAAGAATAAGGCAAGTGCATTCATTCTTACTGTTTCTAGTCAACATCGTAATGTAGTGCAATTAGGCAAGAGAAAGAAATATTAATAAAAGGCATGAAACATGCAAAATAAGTCAACATAAAACAATCAATTGTATTAATACACACTGGCAACAAAAAATTCAAAAAATATTAATTTTTAAAAAATTTCCTTTAGAATAGCATTAAAAATGAAGAACTCAGCAAAACATCTGAGAAAATAAGAAAATGTGCAAGATCTATACATTGAAAGCTAGAAAACATTCCTAAGATAAATTAAAAGATGATCCCACATAAGTGAAGAGAACTATCATGCCCACAGGCTGGAAGACTCAATATCATTATTGATACATCATCTCTTCCCAGATTGTTCCATAAATTCAATATAATCCCACTCAAAAAGGTAGGCCTTTTGTTTTGTATCATTTGACAAGCAGATTCTAACATTATAAAGGAATGAAAAAATGATCTAGCTTATCCAAAACAATTTTGTAAAAAAAATTAACAAAGTTGGGGAACTGATACTATCTGATTTTTAGAATTACTACAAAGGCACAGTTATTAGGACAGTGTTGTACTGGCTTAGGATAGATACATATATTAATAGAACAAAATACTGTGTATAAATTGATCCACATATATGCAGTCAATCGATTTTCAAAAACATTACAAGAGTGTTGAATGAGGAAAGGACAGTCTTTTCAACAAATGGCACTAGAATGCATGAACATCAACATGTGAAAAAAACTGAGCCAGCTGACTTCTACCTCACATCACACATACACAAGAATTTGAAATGATACATAAACAAAACATAAAAGCTGAAACTGTAAAACCCAAGAAGAAAAGATAAAGTCTTCATGACATTGAAATATTCAAGGATTTATTAGCACACAGAAGGCACTACCCCTACAATAATACATTAATAAATTCATTTTTTAACCTGAATCAAAAACTTTTGTTTTTCAAAATCACCAAGAAAAATAAGAAGTGAGCCACAGGCATTTGCAATACATTTATCTGACAAGAGACTTGACAGAAAATTCAATGTAAAAAACGGGCAAAAGACTGAATGAACATTTTGAAAAAAAACTCATGAACGAT